ACTAGGAGCAAGGACGCTACTAGGGGCTCCTGGCATCGCTACTAGGAACAAGAACGCTACTAGGGGCTCCTGGCATCGCTACCCGAGCAAGAACGCTACTAGGAGCAAGAACGCTACTAGGGGCTCCTGGCATCGCTACTAGGAGCAAGAACGCTACTAGGGGCTTCTGGCATCGCAACTAGGAGCAAGAAACGCTACTAGGGACTCCTGGCATCGCTACTAAGAGCAAGAACGCTACTAGGGGCTCCTGGCATCGCTACTGGGAGCAAGAAGCTAATGTTAACAAGAAGCTTTGAAAAGGGCGGCGACACCCCAGCTGATGGCCTGGTCACTACAGTGTCACCTTCGGCACCCACAGCCTTGCTCGGGATCTGGCATGGTCCATCCTGTCAATCCTGGACGAGGTTGGTGTCGACATTTCAAGGCGTGCAACTTGCAGCGCACTCGTGTCATGCCACATGCAGAAAGCCACTGCCATTGTGCAAGAATCTTCACCAGCTTTCTCTTTCGCGCCCACCGGTGGGCGAGCCTGCCATAAGATCTTACGCCAGCATAGGAAAGCTCCTTGTCCCAAGACAGTCTTGTATGTTGGTTGATTGACCTCCTCGGGGTACCCGGGGCTGAGGCGGGACATCAATGTGCTGCAGGAGTCAAAACGCAGGATTGGCATCCATCGAACAATGGGAGGCTGTTCTGAGGGGTTTCAGATTCCCTGACAATGAAGGGCACTGTTTTTGCTATAGGATTCCCTCGAAATGGGACCGAGTCACAATGCATGGAGGGTCCGCATATTATATATATCCGGTTTCTTTTTGAAGAGTCAGATGGTTGGGTTCAGATCCGGTTTGGCTCACCACCCGATCTGGCCGCGAAAGCATTGAAGGCTAAGAGCCACCACCTGAGTGGAAGAGGTTTGATTTACCAGAAAATCCTTTGCTTGACGATCCGAAGATCACACATTGAACGGCCCATGCGATCCTTTTGTCCCGGAAGAAACATGAGATGTCGAGGTGTCGAGGGAAGGTCCTGTATTTTCTTTGTAGAAGGTCTGTTCGATGCTTCATGCGTCATATACACAATACTTGTCCCTTCGGCTGACTACCCATTTGCACTTGTATTGAGTGAATCTTTTGGGGAACCTGGGCACCTTCTGCAGTTCAGCACCATTCATGCAAGGAAGATCAAGGAAGCATGTTCATCTTTTTTTTTTTGGTGTGTTTTTTGAACCCTAGAGTATTATACAGCGTATAAAGATGTTTATTTTTTGGTGTGTGTGTGTGTGTGGTGGTAACTATGATGCCTCCGTGGGGAGAGTGCAGGCTTGCTCTGGCCTGCGTTTCTATGAGAGATTCTGAACAAGTTTGGTGCTTAGTCACGTTGTCCTAAGTCACGTTGTTCTTGCTTACCATAGACTCTAACCGACCTACGATCAGACATTGGTCAACGTCAGCGAAGGACTGAACACTCAAGTGGGTGGAGTGTTTCAAGCTCGCCATTGATGTCCTCATTGCTGGAACTTCAGAAAGCTTGTTCAATGTATGAGGATGTACCGTACATGCAACGCTGGAAGGAAGAACCCAAGGAGCTCCAGTGATGCAAACCAACACCAGAACAATGCTGGACATTTCTGGTTGCCTGACTGCCCAGAATGGCCCAGATAGAAATTTAGGGTTTAGGGTTCTCAGTGGTTCATCAAAAGGCGATGGGCCTTCAAACCAGATCCATGAACCTTTCATGCTTAAAGTAACTAATTTGGAAAGCGGTGGAGATGTTCAGAACAACGATGACCATTCCGGAGTTCCAAGGGCCACATCAAGGCGAAGCAGGCGAGGACATCGGCGTTCCGATGGCGGAAATAATATCATTAAAGGTTCATTCCACGTTCGGACCCCCTAAAGGGGGGTTATTTCAAGCAGGTCCACAGGTCGCAGGGAACGGGAAGAAGGTCCACAGGTCGCAGCATCGTCCAAAGCCATCAATTGGAATGACCTGGCCCTTTTCCAGGATCTTCAGTTCGTGACCCTGAACAGGTCACGACCTGGTCACTCACAGACTCCAAAGAGGTCACGCTGGCCTCCAACCAATAGCGATGAGTAGCGATGGCCTCCAACTGCACGTGTTACCAGTAGTTTCGCTACTCACTCGTAGCGATGCCCTTGTTGCGTCGGTAGCTTCAAGGTCCTCGTGGGAGATCGGTCTTTTTGGGTGTCCATGTTGGTCCCTCACCGTCTCGGAAGTACCGTCTCGGTTGGCGGACGGTACCGAGTTTCTCGGTTTGCATGAGGCAAACATATATCGAAAGGCACCTGGGAGGTGAAGATCGTGTCTTTAAATGTGCAAGTTTTACTTCATTGATTTACTGCTATTGGAGATTATTGGTGTGTCATGATCCTCATCAAGACCGACCGTACCCATCGCATGCGTCTTCGCTTGGTTCACATGGCCCCCTTTTGCCAAGAAGGACGGAGTTGCCACAACCCCGTTTTTCAGTTAGCACCGTGTCAGCAATTTTCCTTCTAGCGCATCAGATGTCTTGATGTTCAAAAGCAATCAATGTTTCTCATTAATTTGGTGTGACTTCCGAAGTCTACCTGAAGCATCATGCTTCTTTCCTTTCTTGCGGCCTGCGACACCTGCCATCGCTTCCGATCGATGGCTGGAGATCGATCAAGCGGCTTAAGCGTGGCCTTCCAGGAGAGGACGAGTTGCTTGGCAGTCTTCGGGCACGGCTGTCCTATAGTTTGAACAGAAAGAACAGAGACGTTAACAGCTGCTGTATCACGTAGTGTTTTTTTTCATTTGTCCAAACCCTCGGTCTTTGGTGATTTGTAGAACATCCGGAGCTTCCTGGAAATCGACTTCTATCTTCTCGGAGCTGGAACGAAACAGCGAAGACCCGACATCCGAGAGGTGAGGCAACCTGGCAACACCTCACGATCCGAAGCTACGAAGTGCTGTTTTCCCAAGTGGCTACGCGGTTCACGCGGTTCTTTTTTTTAACTATCTTTTTTTCAATCGTATCTCTTGTGGTAGACCCTGGTTTCAACCAGTCCCTCAAAATGACATCTCAAGGTCCCACGGTGACACCTCTGGGTATCTCAGGAGCCTAACTTCGGCGCGATCCTAAGATCCTCAGGTTTTCAGCGATTGACATGTGGTCATGTTAGGATGGAGTGTCCATTAACATGTTGGTCGATTCCGTTGACCAAGTCTCAGAGAAACGCTGCTTGCTTCCTTCATGTCCAATCGCAGCTGTACATCCACAACCTCCAGTCACCCAGGTTGTTTTCCGATATTTGCTGCAAGAAA